TTCAGCACACCACTTACAAGCCTATAACAGAAGCATATCGCAAAAACAGGATTATCATTTAATCTGAAATTACACCACCTTACCATCGCCGAGGTCAGCAGGCATTAGAAAACAACGTAAGGGAGGAGTTAGCTGTTACCAATCGCTTTAACTTATATAAGGAATACTCAACATACAGGGACAACGAACCTTGCCAACTTTTCGTGCACCGTAAACGCGACAGTAGAACACAGTCCGATTAGTCTGCCGCCGAATATAATCCAGTCGTCGTTCTGGTGTGACAGTGATGCCGCGGAGGAGGAAATCGCCCTCGGTGTTTATAGAGCCGAGGGTGAGCAGAGGCGAGGTAACCATCTGCGATGACGGCGCATCCGACGCATAAGGCGAGCTTGCGGCAGCTACGGAGGAGGCCATGTCTGCTCCCTCACCGGAGAGGCCTCTATTTGCGTCAGTATTGTTAGAGAGGTAACAGTAGCCCGTCTGATAGGTGAACCCCAAGTACGCCAGGTACTCCAGAGCGCGACTGGGCTCCAACAGGGCCGTTAGCCTATGTGAAAACAAATATGGCTACTCAAATACTGACAGTAGAGTGTTTTATTTGTCATTTCAAGGGATGGAACGGAAGAAACGAGAAAAGCAACAAAAAACTTACGCCCAGTGTGCCATGAAGCCTCTACGCGTAATCCAACCCATTGAATTCGTTTCTACACACACCCCTAGTTCTTCAAAACCGGCAGACATCAGTTGGGCATCTTCTGGGCAGACAGCAAGCAGTTCGGTCACTTCACTCGGGCTCAGACAATCGTCGCGATCCTGTTAAGTAAGACAGTCTGTTTGACCAGAGCTTTGGCTAGGTAATGAAGAAAAACTGCAAACTCAAAACGTACAAGGTCGTATTTGGTGAATGTGGCGTGCAGAAAACGCAAACCCAGAGGAGAGAACTCAGTTGAGCAGCCTTGAGGAACAGTTAACCTGAACTCGCAAAATAGTAAACAGTTAGTGACTATCTGTGAATGATGGTAACAAAAATTAACAAGTGCAAAATGAAAACCAACTTTGGATAAAGGAATTCGTTTGAAAGACGGAGCTGATTATCGTATCCGAATTGGCGCAAGACAGCCCAGGTGGTTTCATGTCTACCCTTGCGAATAAAGACCAGGTGGAGAAAAAGAAAACCTACAATAGAAAAGGCAACAACATGCCACTCAGACTATTGTCGGTAATGTCCTAAAATCAAATGTTACTGAAATATAGTAAGTAACA